CTCCAATGCATTTTCTATTCTCCCAAGATCGCCCTTCAGGGACATGGCTGTCATTTTGATGCTCATCCATCAGGCATGCCTAACAAATTTTTAATTCTGAATTGTTACTTTGTTAGAAGTGTAAATCGGGTCGTGTTGGCTGATTCTTTAGGTGGCCCTATCGGCCCGCTTTTTACTTTTCTTTATAAATATAGACTCGAATGAGTTTGTTCTAGGCACAATCCCAAAATCATATCTACCTATCGCAAAATGTTCTTGCTGATTAATGAAGTTTCTAATTTTGATTTTTGTAGTTTATAACGTTTGGGTTTGCATGCACACCGCTGTATTTTGTATGGGAAAAGGCCATAGGGATGCACGAATGCAGAAGTTTGTGCAAGCGGGCAGCTGCAAGGTTGCCGGTAGTTATACCCATATGGTTCTTGGCCATTGTTTTTCCATTCTTCGGCCCCATCAACTCCACAGTCGGATCACTTCTTGTTAGCTTCACTGTCTACATTATCCCGGCTTTGGCTCATATTTTCACCTTCCGATCTGCCCCTGCCAGAGAGGTATGCCCAAGACATTACTGTATAATGTGTTCCTTGCAGATTATTATTAGAAATGACTCTATAGTATAATTGACTGGATTTTAAATTATTTTTTTCTTATTTGATGGTCAATAGGAAGCCTCCAAGGAAGAATAGGTCAACAATACTTTTTTGTTTGCCTTTTTTGTGGGGGTTTGGATGAGAGGGCAGGAATCCTCTGTACCGTCCTTGCTTTACATGAACAGAGGATATTATCTTAATACATGATGGACAAGAACGAGATTCCCACTGCATAATACTACTATATAGGAGATTCTTTTGTCTAATTGGAGTACTCCAAAAAACTTCCAATGAATGATTTTCATGCTTTACATTATTGATATATTTAACTATGAATCGAATAGAATAGTAAGAACGATTTATTTATTTTGTGCACACCATTATGCAATATACTAACCATTTGAATGAATGTGTTGGTGCAGAATGCAGTGAATAAACCATCCAAGTACTTTGGGAGATGGGTCGGGACTTTTATTATCAACATCTTTATTGTTGTGTGGGTGTTAATTGTTGGGTTTGGATTTGGTGGATGGGCAAGCATGATAAACTTCGTCAACCAAATCGACACATTTGGACTTTTCACCAAGTGCTACCAATGCCCTCCTCAATTGCCACCATCATCGTCGCCACCCAACTTCCTCAATGCCACAGCTCCTCTGTCGCCTCCCACGGCCAATCTTACACATCCTCATCGCCCTTGACCTATTTTTATTTATTTATTTATTTTATCATTTTGTTGACCCTCTTGAGTTCAAATTAGTTTAGAACTTTATTTTGTCATATATGGATCATGCAATGCACGAAAATGGCCAAGCAATTGCGCATGAAACATCTCGAGTAAATCTTTTCTTAAAATGTAATGTAATAATATCCTTTTATTTTCATTAATCCCCCATCCCCATCCCCACCCCAGTTTTCTTTAATTGATCAGTCCAACAGTCTGACATTAACAACCAAATTGGAAAAAAAAGGACCTTAAAAAGAATTTCGAGACATAATTCTGAATTTATTTATTATTTTCTTTTGAATCACGTAGACATAATCTCATAACATGGTTGGCAAAGCTTCTACAATTTACTCGCTCACTATCACCTATGTTATCCACGATCAGAATGACCAACGTTTGCTTTCAAAATTCTCTTAATAGACTTTGACCGGTCATTATTCACATTTTGGTTACGAGAAAATCGTTTCCACTGGCAACTGTAGGTCAAAGAATAATTCTAGGTGTATGGACAAACATTCACAAAAGCCTTACAGGGAAGGAAAAAAAAAGGCAGTGACTTGGCCAAAAAAGAAAAGGAAAAACGCGGGAAGAGTGTTAGAAAAGGAAACACGAGGGAAGAGACTTATTCTATACCTTATGTTCACCATTTTTCCAAATCAGAGCCCTAGAATGGCTAGAAGAAACGAACTCATTTCCAGCAGAAATTTCCGTCCGTCTTCTCCGACAGCTTACCCGTCCTAGTTCCTCTTCTCCGATAGATGAACTCAGTTGATTTTCCCATTCAACTTGTGCATTTTTCAATCGAAAAGATCAGTGTACTTGTGAAGAAAACTGAGAAAGGGGGCTTTGAAGGTGGTTGTTGTTAATTTTATTTCCGCAAGTGTACGAACCGTTAAAAGTAATAGTGGACCAAAGAGTTTGGGTTGTCGATCTCATAAAGACTATATTCCAATACTTAATTCAATTTTGCTTTAATTACTATTTGATGAAAACAAATAAAAAGTTGTAAGATTTGAGTTTTAATCTAAATGCTAACAAATAAATAGATGCAGACACAATTGGTTTGAAAATCAAACAATGAATGGATGTTAGGGCAGAATAATTTCACCTATTAATCATCTTTACATCTCAAATTAAGATTTACATATAATGTAGTATTCGGTCGAATTCTCCTATTGTATTCAATTTGCCAATCTCGAGTTCTTGTTGAGCCAATTTAACTAACTAAATTCTATCTCTATGTAAATTCAACTTATTTAAATGAGTTCTATTATCCTAAGAATTCAATTATGACCTTAATAATTGGCATAGATATCTCTACTTATTACACCAATTTACTGGATTTTACTATATGGTCTAAATCCTAAACTCCTTTCTCTATTCATAAAGGATTCACAAAATCATTAAATTATTGATCAAGTAATTTAATGCATTCACTTCATAGTAAAATCAACACATGAAACAGTAAAAACCAATAATCTCAATAAGAAAATATAAAGGATCCCAATAGGTTACATTATTCGTCCTAACAATTAATTTAACTTTTCATAATGAAAAAAGAAAAACAATCAATTGTTTTAGAATACATCACCGAATTTGTAGTAAAGATGTAGAAAAAAAGTAGAATTCTTGCATCAAGATATTCATCCTCTTCCAATGAATGCGTTAAACCTTTAATTGCTTGATGTTTTTCTCATTTGAATTCCTCTTTCGATTCTCCAATTATGTTCTCTTGCCTCTTAATGTGTGAATCCTACTCCTATTCCCTCTTCTAGGGTTGTATTTATGTCTTTTTCAAGTTTTTAAAGAGTTTTAGTTGAGTTGGACTTTTAAAACGATGAATTTCACTTAAAAATCTTACTTGACGGTAGCGCAGGGCCTAGGCGCTATGATTGAGCGCTGACTTTCAGGAAAAAAATCGGAAACATGGCGCTTGGGCGCTATCCTACGCTATTGTCAATTCGATCGCACTGCACAGTATTCAATCTTTTTATCATAACTTTTTCTCTTGATATCTGATTGAGGTGGTTCAAGATGCGTTGGAAAGATAACTCAAAGAGTTACAAATTTGCTTCAAATACCACTTTCAAATTCAATCATTTGCTATGTCAAAAATTAGGTCTCAATATGAGTCTGAAAACGATGCATACATTTTTTCGATTGAAACTTAATGTGTGATCATACTTTGATTATATTTTATCCCTTTGATGTATTTCTTTATTCAATTGACTCCGAGCACTCTTGAATCTAGGGCCGAACAACGAAACCGCCAAACCGAACCGAAACTATGTTTTTGAAATCGTTGGTTTGGATCCACCTGGATCCGTCAACACTTTGATTTTGAATCGAACCAAATCGCTTTGAAGTGGTTTGGTTTAGGTTTGAATTTTTACAAACAGTTTCAAATCGCCAAACTGCTAAAAAAAAAATTAGTTTAAATTTAAATTTTATTCAACCCAAGTAAAACCAAATACATCCCAATTGAAAGGAGACCTTCATATTAGGCCCAATCCAATTAAATTCAATACCCAACTTAACAAAATACCCAATTGGATAATTACCCAACTCCAAGACTTCAGCCCTCAAACGTGAAACGTGGTTCTTCAACTCTTCAATTTTTCGACTTTGTAACTTCTAGGTTATTTCTCCCTCTTTCAAATTCTAACAACAAAGGTATGTGAATTTCTACTATCTATATTTTTATATATTGATTCTTTATTTTAATTCATGTTCATGTAGGGAGTGTTTTTTGTTAATTTTCTACTTGTTTTCTTAATTTCTTTTTATATTGATTTGAATAATGGAAAAAAGGTTTTGCTGCATTAATATGAATGTTGTTCCGCCTGGCCTCATATTTACGAGCATACTGTAATCAAATGTTATTTGCAAGAGACATCAAACATATCTTAGGTCTTTCATTTCTGGTGAGTCTTTCACAATTATCTTGGTAAAATAATTTCTTTATTTTATATATGAATGAGGTTTCTGTTATTACAATAATAATCCTGATGTTTTATTGTTTTATTGAGACATGTTATGATGTTGTATGGAAGATTAATGGGTTTGCAGTTTTCATTTGAATTTTGTTAGGTAATTGCCAATAATAAAACAGAGATTATTATAGAAGACGATCAAGGTATTGAAAATGATTTTACACTTGAATTCGAGGAGGTGCAAATAGAAGTATTTAGTTGGCTCCCTGGAGCTATTCCTCGTGTCCTTAGTACCCGTTTGTCTCAGCAGGGGTTTGGTTAAAAGAACACCTTGTCGGTCTACTATACTGCTTAATATTATATATAACTGAAATGTGTGTATTAAAGAATCTTCTCCGCTAGATGGTTATTGGAATTATGATATCTTTGCTTAGGAAGGCAAGACTCTGGCCCAAAATTAAGTTCGGCCAAAACATGCAAAATATCTAGTTGAACTTGAATTCCAGCTCATTGTGTTTATCTTTTTTTTATTAAGTTATTCTTGTGGTAAAAAATAAATAAATAAATGAAATAAAAACCACACTATATTCAAGCCTTTTTGGTATTTCATAATTGATTAGGAGTTTCTTTACAAACTGTTGCAGGTGGGGGGCTTGCCTTGAAATCTTTTGCTGTTCATATTCTTTTGTATATTAACTTTGACGTCATGTTGAAAAATATGATTTTTTTTTCATATGTAGATAATCGGATATGGATTCGACTTTAGAAGAGCAAAGTAATCATGGGACCGATGATAAAATTTCAGTAAAGAGTGAAAATGTGAATTTGCAACAAAGTGTGAAGGGTAAGAAGGGACATAAAAGGTCCGATGTGTGGGCTCATTTTGATATAAAGAATGATGGAACTGTAGAATGCATTTATTGTGGACAAGTGTATAAGCATCAATCTAAAAGTGGGACTAGTACATTGCGAAATCATATCGACGATTTATGCAAAAAATATCCATATAGGTTTCAAGACAAAAGGCAAAAGACATTAAATTTCTATGGTAACTCTAGAAATGATGAGGTTTTAGAGAGTGTTAGTAGTGGTGGACAACTTGTCAAGTTTACTCAAAAAGGGGTGAGAGAACAAATTACTAAGTACTTTATATTATCTGAGTTACCTTTTCGACACGTTGAAGATGAAGGTTTTCAAGGTATTTTTTTTTCGACTTTTGATTTTCCTTCAAGGATGACAGTTGCTAGGGATATATATCGTTTGTTTCTTGATGAGAAGAAGAAATTGAGGAAAGAATTGAGTAAACACTGAGTTTGTTTGACTACTGATTGTTGGACATCTATACAAAATGTAAGCTACATGTGTTTGACTGCTCATTGGGTTGACGATCATCGGAGACTTAAAAAACGAATAATAAGTTTCATCCAAGTCCCCAGCCATAAGGGTGATATGGTAGGAAGGGAATTGATATCTTGCCTTCAGGATTGGGAAATTAATAAGATTTTTTGTGTGACGGTTGATGATGCCTCATCTAATGACGTAGCAATAATGAAATTGAAGAGTTGTTTTCTAGAGAAGAAGAATGGTCTAGTTCTTGGAGGAGAAATGCATTATATGAGGTGTTGTGCTTACATTCTCAATCTTATAGTTTGTGATGGTTTAAAAGAAATTAGCAATGTCATTTTATCTATTCGCAATGCTGTACAGTATGCTAGATCTTCCCCAGCACAACTAAAATGATTTCGAGAGAGTTGCAAGGATGCAAATGTTGAGTCTCGAGGTTTATTGTGTTTGGATGTATCAACTAGATGGAATTCCACCTACATGATGTTGCAGGCAGCAATAAAGTTTAAAAAAGCATTTGATGTTTTGGAAAGTGATGCAAACTATACAAAGTACTTTGATGAAGAAAGGTCCAATGGGAAAAATATAGATGGACCACCAACACATATCGATTGGGACCAAGTAGAAGCATTTGTTGGATTCTTGAAGACTTTTTATGATATGACATTGAAAATTAGTGGCTCTTTATATGTAACATCAAATACTTTTTCAAGAAATATGTGAAATTCATGCGGAGTTGAATGAATTAGCTAAAGAGCCAAATAGTATGATAGGATCCATGGTAGTTAGCATGAGAAGAAAATATGATAAGTATTGGGACAATCTTGAAAAGTTTAATCAATTGTTGTTCATAGCAACAGTGCTTGACCCTAGATGCAAGTTGGAATTGCTTAAAGTTGGGCTTGAACTTATTTATGATGTACAAATTGCAAACATGTTAAAAAAAGTTGAAAACACGCTTCACAGTTTACACGAATGCTATAAAGAAATGATGACTCCACCATTAGTCCCACCTAAGGATGCTACTCAACCTAGAAGCCAAAGTGCTTTACAAACTACTATGGGAACTTCTAAACCCGTTCCCTTAATTTTTAGAGCTAGGCTTATGCAAGAAACTCAACCAGAGAATAATGATTTGGTGGATTATTTAAATGATCGTTGTGAAGATTTGACTAATGATGATTTCGACATATTAAATTGGTGGAAACTGAATGAAAATAGGTGGAAATTGAATGAAAATAAGTACAAAATTTTCTCCCAAATTGCTAAAGATGTGTTAGCCATTTAAATATCTACGGTTGCTTTTGAATCTGCATTCTCTACTAGTGGTCGGATTCTTGATCTCTTTAGGAATTCATTGAGTGCAAAGATGGTTGAGGCAGTGATTTGCACTAAGAATTGGTTACATAGTAACAAGGAACCTATTGTGATTCGTCAATATTTGGATTAAGTAGAAGCATTGGATGATTCAGAAAAAGCTATAGAAGGTATTATCGTATTTTATCTTTCTATTCACTTTATTTTATAGTTTTTTACACCATTTAATTTTAATAAATGCATATATTTGTTATATGCAGATAACGAATCATGTGTTACTACTGGAGATGTTTTGCCAATTAGTATCGATTAAGAGGTTAGAACAAATTGTTTCACTGCATTGAATTATTAGAATTGAAAAATATTTGTTCATAGTATTTATAATAATACTAATATTTATATTTTAACGTGATATTTAAGATTAAAATTTATGATTTAACTTGTTCGATGTACATTTTTTTTGTTAAACCATGATTTTAAACCGAACCAAATCGAAAAAGGTGGTTTGAATTGGTTTGATTTGGTTTGAAAAAATTTCAAATCGCTTTAAGTGGTTTGGTTTGAAAATTTGTCACAAACTGTCCAAACTGAACCTTGTGCACCCCTAGTTGAATCTTCATCGTGAGGTCTGACACAACTTTTGAGTATTTGCACTTTAGTCCCCGAACTTTGAATTGTAAGACTTAGCCATTTTCTCCAATTTTGTCAATTTTTGCTTATTTCCATCAATTTTTTTGTACCGTCATTGAATTTTACCTATTCAATGTGAAATTCAATAATTTAGACCATAATTCATCCGAAAAGTAACTAAATATCATCATTTTAAAGCTACTTATCAAGAACGTTGACATCTTCGACTTCGACAAAAGCAGTCCAAGTTCGTCTTCTCCGGCCAGTGATTAACCAAGTTACTAGAATATTGGGAAGATAGTTGCTTCAATTCATGGTGTCTTCCTTCAATCTCTTCTGCCGCTGCATGGCCTCATCATTCTACACAATTTTCATAGAACCCATAAAAATTCATCATCAAATCGAAGGAGAAAAAGGTCCAAAAAGCCCCAATTCAAAGAGTGATAAAATATCAAACCATTTGGACATGCACGAATTGATCTATAGGCTTTCGATTCTCGAGAAGCGAGTCAACCAGGATGCGCAGGGTGCTCCAAAATCGCTTATCTGAAGACGGGCTAAATATTGGGGAAGAAGATCCCATCAAGCTTGGCGATTTCTGATAAAATAGCAAGAAATGATTTGAAATTAACAGAAAATTTAGAAGTGTAATTAAATGAAAGAATGGTTGTAAAGAGTAAACAAATCTCTTTGATTGAAGAAAGGAGTAAACAAATCTCTTCGATTGATGAAAGAGATAAGTCGCCATTTACAACTATTCTGCCTGCGTCCCTTCTTCTTTTCCTTCTAGTTATTTTATTTTCATTTTTTATTAGGTAGATACCATGTCATTTTGTGAGACTTCTGTAAACCAACCTTCTGTGTGTCTAGCACAGTCGTCACAAGATTTCAATTGCTTAATTTTTTCAAAAGCGCAAATGATATTTATTTTTAAAGAAAATTGATATATTGTAGTCAAAAAGTTCTAAAGGTTATCCTTAAATTCAAGTTGTTTAATTTAATTATTTGAGGTTGCCTGCAGAAAAATTTTCAATTGGTTGAACCCTACACGGAATCAAGGAATGCGTAGAAATCAAAAGATGTCCAACCAAAAGTGAGATCTATGTTATAGAATTAGGTACCTTTTGTTTATTGGGTACATCTCAAGAATTGCACATATTTTTGACCTGTCAAACAACTCTTACCTCTCTACAAAATTTGATAACAGAAGCAATTTTTTATTTTTCAAAAGCCCCAAAAACCTCGGCCTCGAGTTCAAAACTCGGGCTCGAGTCTGCTCAAGTTCCCAAAAACACTAATCTTGAATGTTTCGTGGTGCAAATCATGCAAATATTTTCCACCGATGGATGGATTGATTGATGTCGAATATGTACATTTGGTCAAGAACCAATCCAATGCCAATCTTTTTGATAAAAAAGTAAAAAAGATCAATTCCAAGAAAATGACAGCTATCAGATATAAATGCCATTTTTCTATTATCAATATCTGCAGATGAATACCATAACATTAATGTGGAGATTTAAAGAGAGATGGATAAAAGTTCATTCATTAAATAGTAACATGTATAGGCATATACATGTATACAATTTATGCAAAATTTAAAAATGAAAAACAGACATAAAGCCGATTCGATTACTGATTAACCAGACAAGCAGCGCAACAAAATAAGATTAAAACCCTAATCTAAATTGATAGAGAAGGTGACCATGTGACAAAAAGACCCCAAAAACCAGAACAAAAACAAAGCAACTATTACATGGATCACCAGTTCATAAACCTAAAGAACATAGCACTTGACGCAAAAGCAGGATAGAGATAATGGAAGAAACCCAGTGGTTCAACGGTTGGCATTTGGGCATTCACGGGCAAAATGACCACCTTCACCGCAGTTGTAGCAGCTTCCTCCGCCGCCTACACCGCCTCCAGCTCCATATCTTCCGCCGCCTCCACCACCACCTCCCTGAGGACATTCCCTAGCCATATGTCCAGACTCACCACACTTGAAACAACCACTACCACCACCTCCTCCTCCGCCGTATCCTCCACCGCCGTAGCCGCCACCGCCACGGCTTCCACCTCGGCTTCCACCGCCTTCGTTGTACCCGTAGCCGCCGCCGCCACCCTCGTTATACCCGTAACCACCACCACCATCTCTACGGCCTCTTCCGCCGCCGCCCCCACCACCACCATAACCTCCTCCTCCACCACCACCACCACCATAACCTCCACCACCTCTGGTGCTTCCCTGAACAGAAGCCCCACCAGGTCCAGTCACGTTGGCAGCCTTGGCGCGGCCATCGTTACCGTACTCAACTTCGAACTCCACATTCTCACCGTCGCCTAGGCTTCGGAAACCCTCAGTTTTAATCGCAGACTGATGAACGAACAGATCCTCACTCCCATCATCGGGAGTGATGAATCCAAACCCTTTCTGATCATTGAACCACTTCACGGTACCCGTTTTCACACCGCCGCCGTTTTCCCCCTCTTCGGCCATTTTTCCGAAACCCTAATGCCTTTTTTTTTTTCTTTTCCCCTTTTTCTTTCTGAGTAGTTGATACCTTGTTCTGAGTATTGAGCTTGGATATATATGAATAAAACTGAGTGCCACGTAAGCGGATTTGATATTGGAATCAAATGTTTGTAATTTTATTGTGGGGTCCGTGTTATTTTTTGTTTTGTTTCAATGTTTCACTATTTCACTTGTTTCGATTGGTTTTGTGTATTGGGAATCAAAGCGACGGTTGGTATTTCTTGAGGAAATCTTACGGTTGTGATTACTTGAAGACTTTTCTTTGACCGTTACAATACATTGCATAGATCGATGTCCATTTTCTTCCTTGGTCTATTTAAAAATTCTTTGAAACTCGCGCTTCTTAAAGGGTGCAATAGCAGTACTGCGCTTTTAAATCCGCCAGAGGTGAAACGGAACCACCGACCGAGCGGCGGAGATGCAGAGCAAGAAGACAAGGAAGAGAGGAGGAGAAAGGCCGGTATGTACCCACGAAACAAGTACTCCGGCAATCCGCCGGATTTCGGACTCTTGGCCTCTTTGGACCTGAGCTTTGAGCCCGCCCTACGTCTTCTATTCCCTCGATGGCCGCCCCAGAATCCCACTGATTTTCGAGTTAGCAAAAAGTCATTTTTTTGGGGTCTTAAATGTGAAAGGATTTTGTTAATTCATGATTCCCTTTAATCATTTTTTATTTTGCGGGAATTTGGTGTCGTATAAGTGGAATTTTCAATTAAATTAGTAGCAATTAGATTAGCTAAGTGATCAAACCTAAGTTTTATTGCTTAACCTAATAGATAGTAAGCTCAGTTTAGCGTTTTCTTTTGTGCATGAGCCCGTGTTTATACTTTTTAGTTCAGTGGAGTAGAGTACATTATAAGTTTCTGAAATCTAAATTAAATTGCTTACAGATGTATAACTAGAAATTGAACTTTTCCCCAATTCTGTTACCCTTTAATCTTAAACATGAAATATGGGGTGCACTGTAGATAAATATTGCTAGCACGTGAGAAATTATGAATTGAAATCATAGGTGGATTCTGGATGGGCTGCTCTGCCCGACAGTCCCAAACAGATCAAATTACATTCATTGGATTGAAGACCTTTTGGCTGCAGATCTCATCCCATGCACTTGGGCTGATAGTGTTTTCAAAGGTTCTGATATTTTTACAGGTGCAAATTGCATATTTCCGCTCCTTGGTGCATCTCTTACTAAGTTGGACATTTTTTGGGTTGGTCAGGTAGTTATCCAGGCTGTATGCTCTCTAGAGTCATCCAACAAGAAAGTTCTCTCATACGTTGTGAAGCATAATATAATTTTAGTACTGTTGTGATTATTTGCAGATGTAACTGATGTAGCCCTGTAAACTAAATGCTGTCACATTTAATATTGATGTATGCTCAGTGATATTTTGGTCTAATTTATATGACTGCACAACTTCCATAGACTTGTCGTAGTTATAATATCATGTAATAGATCACTGCATCAAAGAATCATTTTGACACAATTCTGAAGACTGAGAAGCAAAACAAGAATGAAGCTGCTAAATGCCAAAATGAGTTGGAGATATCCAGGGTACCGCATTTTAGTAATTTCCATTTCCCCAGAATTTTGCTATCATAGTGGTCTCTGGTATTTAAACCTGGATATAGCTCTAATTCTCTATTTTATATTTAAGGTCTTTCAGCAAGATTATCAAAGAGCTTTAATCCATGGACTTTGCTGAAAGATTGGAAAGAATCAGCCAAAAACGGCCATCTATTTTTCTCCATAAAAGCCTTGTTGTCTATTGCCAAGTGTAGAGAACTAAAAAGAGTTGGCAATGTAACATTGTGACCATGTGGCATTGTCTTTATTTGAGGAAATGCTTAATCTATCCGAAAAAGAACCTTTGTTGTCTTTCTCTTGTACGTGGCTTTGGTAGCATTCACAATTACAATTATTGCTAAGAATGATAATCCTGGCAGAATGTCCAGTTTTTATTCATCCAGATTGTAACATCTCTATGCACAAATTATACACACAGTGACACACATAACAAAGATAACACGCGGAAATACTATCCACACACCGTGCATGCTTGGTACATAGTAGAGACTTGACTTGAGCAGTATGTTCTTATCGCTAAGGAGTCTTAACGAGTTTCTGTACCATACAGGTCATATGAAATGAATAGTTAAAACAATGAATTTATTGACAACAATGATTTACAATTTCCACAAACTAGTAGAAAATGATCTAACTCGAGCTTGATTCAAACCTTTCCTTCGGCCCTTGCATTTGTAAGCCCAGCACAAGCATCGACAAAATCCTTATCTATGAAATCCGTTGAGAATATCTGCAACCTATCAGCAATGCCCCGAGAGAAGCACTGTGATATAAACACCCTTGCATACGGATGAATCCGATCTGTAACAGGTTTAACACACAGTATCGGGTTATCCGCCTGTGGAGTGACAGTATTCTCGACCCTGTAAAAGAATTTCCGAGCTGTCACCGGTTGCTGCTCGCCCAAATGCTTAATATTGCTCTCAAACTTCGTCGATGGCAAATCAGTATCGATCCAGTTATCTTTCAAATGCCTGGCACTCCAGAGCAGTCCACCATCCTTTGGCTGAGGTGATTTTCTCGGTTTCCACACACAGATAACTCTCTTAGGCAGTAATTCAGAAATTTTCTTCCCAAATACTCGATCATCTTGTGGTATAAGATACTCACCTAGCCGATCCTCCAAGTAATTATCAAAATAAGGAGGATCATCGTGTCCAAATTCAGTTCGGATTTCGAGGATTATAACCTCTGACTGTGTCTCCGATAGAAACTTCTTAACATCCTCAATCACAACATCGACGCTGTAGGTAACGAGTATGCCATGACAGACCCGACGATCCTCCTGAACCCGGATATCGAGTACCCTGGCCCCTGTTACAAGCTGTTGGTAAATTGAGAGAGATTGGCATTTCGCAAAAGGGCGTGTTACAAATGGGAATCCAATCTTATTCGTAGCAGAATCATGCGTACCGGGCCAGACAATCTGGTTGATTTGAACTTTTTCGGGATTCAGACCCGACATCCAGTTCTTCCTGTCCGAAGGATGGTAGTCTGAACCTGGGAACTCAGATCCATTGCTTTGTTTCATTTCGGTCAAAACTTTCTTCTCAGTTCTAATTGATTTTCTTCTTCCAACCTGTTTTGAAACCTGGGCACCCATTGTCGGAACACACAAAGAAGAAGAAGAAGGAGAAGAAGAAGAAGAAATAATCAAGAATTCTTGTTTCTTCTTCTTCAATTCTGGTTCCTATGTTTTATATCTCCCACCTTATCTTTGGTGGTTTGTTTTGAACAGAAAATGATCTGTTAATGCTATTTAATAGTGGAATTTAACGTCGTAAGGTGAAAATAATCAATATAACAAATTATTTTAAGAATAAGTTTCCGTTTTTATGGAAAAAATTAGGACTGCCTTTCCTAACCGTTCAAATATCTACAACTCAGAGATTTCTCTTTGGTCATTGCGTTTGGTATTGTGGACCAGCTTATTTCATCTGTTGATGGGTAGTTGTAGTTATCGACTTCTCTCCTTGATTGATTCACTTGAATAGTTGTAGTCACCGATTTGTCTCCTTGATTGGTCCACTTGTATTGCTGTCCAAATCATCTTTGTTGTATGATTTTGACATAATAATTTATAATTTTTTTTAAAAATCATAAAGTCTTCTCATCTCGAAATGTTTTTAAACTATGTACTCCATTTATCGCCACATTTCAAGTAGCAACTGTCTTGTCCTTGTACTTGATATGAATTTTAATTTAGTTTAATATCGCGATCGAGCAGATAAACAATATACAAGTGAGTTAAATAGAACCCATACCCAATTCGAGGAAAGACATTAAAAAAACCAAGATTTCATCCCATTAAGTCATTTAAGCAACGATATCATTGTTCGAGGAATCATATCCTGAGGATCCAATATAATGATGGTGAAGATGAAAATCACGAGCAGATGTTTAATGAAGATGAGTAAAAACACTTTGCTCATTCAACTTTAAAAAGTCATTTACTGGTCACCGATCTTCATTCTGTTTCATGTTGGTCAAGGTTAATAATCATCCACATTTAAATCCTCCTTGCCAATCACGTCAATGAAACATAAATTAACTGCTAGAGATATAAGAAGGTAAAAGAGAGCATGATAGCTAATAAAAAACATATGAGTTTACAGAACGAAATCAAGACCAATTTCAGCAGTTTCGCCTATTCATAAAATTTCAGAAGAACTGTATTCAAAATGTTTTTCCATGTGTAATACGGTCTGAAAAGGTTTATTTAATCAAATACAAAATGGTTCTCTAGGATAAACAAAGACAAATACAAGCTATGAGGGGTTTTCTGTCACATTCACACTTATCTAGCCAACAGAATTTGAAAAAGATTTTAACTTCTCGTGTTATTTAACAAGTTTTGATCGGCTAACAGTTCCAAGACAGAGTATGACTCATTTTTCGAAGGATGTAACCCAATTGGTCGATAATCTAAGTGCAATTTCTGCTCAATCTCTAACCAACTAACGGCTTGGTCCTTATTCACTTGCCTCTCATTCATTAGCTTTCTCACTTCCTCCGCAGATTCCCACCTCCCAAGTGCAGCATATATACTTGAAAGCAATAGATAGGCTGCAGGGGATTGAGGCTCGCATTCAATAAGATGCTTAGCTGCAATTTTACCCAACTCTATGTTACCATGAATCCTACAGACACCCAGCAATGCATTCCAAATACGATCATCAGGTTGACATGGCATTTTCTTGAGTTGATTCATCACCTCATCAAACATTCCTGCTCGACCCAATAGATCAATTAAGCACGCGTAATGCTCTTGATCGGGAATAGTATCATAACAAGATGCCATGGAGTCGAAAAAACTAAGTCCCTCTTGCACTAGCCCAGAATGACTACATGCATTGAGAAGGACAAGAAAGGTGACCCTGTCTGGTTTCACGCCCAGATTCACCATGTCAGTAAACATCTTTATTGCTTGTTCACCACATCCATGTTGTGCTAATGAAGTTATCATTGTGTTCCACAACACAACATTCTGCTTGTTTTTCACAGTATCAAAAACTCTCTTTCCTTCTTCTAGACTTCCACATTTTGAGTACATGATGATGAGGGCGCTCAAAACTACTATATTTGGTCTAGTACCTTTCATTGTCAAATGAGAATGAATTTGCCTACCATGCTCGAGTGACATTAAGTTAGCACAAGTAAACAAGCAACTGCTGAAAGTAAATTGATCAGGTTCAACACCAAGCATAATCATCTTTGTTAATAACTTGAGGGCTTCAAGTCCCATCCCATTTTTGGCATACCCTGAAATCAAAGCAGTCCACGAAATGGGATTCTTTTCTGGCATCGCGTCAAAAATTTCCCGAGCTGATTTCATATCCCCGCATTGAGTGTAACCGGAAACCAGAGTGGTCCAAGCAAGAACATCCCTCTTCACCATCTCATCAAACAACTTCCTAGCATCCCCCAACTGGCCGCATTTTGCATATGCATCGACGATAGAACTTGAAAGAACCACATTCGACAAAAATCCAACAATCAAAACTTCACAATGCACCTGCATGGCAAGCCACAACTCCCTCAACTTAACAGACACCGTCACAACCCCAGCAAAACTATACTCATTAAACCCAATATCCAACCTCCTCAACATTTTATAAAACCTTAAAGCCTCATCAAACCACCCGCTCTTCACGTATGCCATCACCATCGTATTCCAACTCACAACATCTCTTTCAGGCATTTTATAAAACAACCTCAATGCAGGCTTCACCATCCCCAACTTTGCGTACCCAGAAAGCATATTGTTCCAAGAATACAAATTTCTCGTACTCATTTTATCAAACACTAGACGGGCCTTTACATGATCACCACATTTGGCATACATATCTATCATGTGGTTGGATAAGAAAGTACTGGGGTGCTTTGAACCCGTTAATTTCAAATGAAGGTGGACCCATTTGCCTTCTTTAATGGATTTCAACTTTGTACACTGTTTCAAAAGAAAGGCAATGCTTTTCGAGTTTAATCGAAAGCCTTTGCGAGCTAAGTGAGGCAAAGAATCAACGGCTTCCTTAATTTGTCCTCGGGATGCTAAATCAAGGAAATTTTGTATCACGCAAGGATACCTGAGGCCTTTGCTGGATGATTTAGTTTTGTGGATTTTTCTGAATGTGGGTGCAAGGATTGTAGGCGGAGGAGAGAGTGAGGGCATTGTAAGAAGCGCAACATAGCGTCACCGCCTGAGATGCGCGGCAGTGTGCGGTGGTCCGTCGACGATTACTAGGGGTGGACCAGAATGAGGACCATCCATAGTAGTCCAATCAATAGACCCAAGCCCCAAATTAAACCCTTGTTAGGGCTCCACTTTAATGGAAATTTGGAAAAATTAAGTTTTGAAATAGTTATTTTTTAGAGAGCGCGTGTTAAAAAATAAAAAATTTTAATTTACATAAAATATTATTTTATAGAAGAATATGTGATTGAAAATAAATTTTGAATAAATATAAGAAAAAAGGATAATTCTATTTGTATACCTTGAAATGTACACTATGAATTACACTCCCTCAATATAGAGGGGAGCTCACGAATATTTTATTATATGCGGGTCCCCTCCATGTGAAGGGATGTAATGTTGTGTGTACACAATAATTATATACATAGCATTGTCCTTGAAAAAATGAAGAGCAAACATAGATTAACTAATGTCGTGAAATTTGAATTCGACTCAATCTCTTATTCTCAATTTAATAAATATGGGTTAGGATTGACTTTTGGTTGCACAAGAACCAACCATGAGTTCATCTCAAGTCAGACTCATTTACTCATCCTTTTCGCCAAATGACTTATTTAGAGAAGTAGGGTTTAAATTGAACTAATTGGGGTTTTATAATAATATTTGTGATGAAAAAAATTCAACCAAAAAATAAAGAGAAGAACTTTTATATCTTTTGGGACAAAGGGGAAGAGACAATACTTGTTTTCCTTATCAAAAGTAGAGGTCTTTTTATCTGGTGCAATCGAATAAAATTTGGTGGTTAAGGTTCTTGAATGGACAGTAGTATTTTAGAGGGCTGGGCACAAAATCCGAGATCTAAGAAATTGACCCAAATTGACTCCGTTTGATTTGGTTCGATTTTGTCTTTTTCATGGGTCATTTTTGGTCGGTTGTTTGACCTAAATAAATGGGTGCAGTCAGTCTAGCAGGTTCAGAATATTTGAAAAATAAATTCAGGATATTTGAAAAAAAAAAATGAGAAATATATATATACAAACATCATTTCCCTTTCCTTCCCCTCTTCTCTATCAGAATTTCAATAATTTATCGGCCACCGCCAACAATCAGTCTAGAAAAACTAACTTCAAATTTCAAAAAAGTTAAATAAAAAAATGCAAAACTAATCCATTCTGAAAACCCATGTTTCTTGTCCACTAAATTTCTGAAAAATAGAAGCCCACAAATAGATACAGAAGATCTTGCTGAATGGAAGATACATTTAGAAAATAGAAACCCACGAAACAAGAGTTGAACAAGTAGATGAACAAGTTTGGATATTGGAACTTTTCTTTACAAAAACAATTCGTTGCAATAGGGCATTGTTGGATGTTATGCGCAATAATAAAGAGATTAAAAAGAAAAATCAACTCAAGAATTTTATGTTATTCGGTAGTGTGCCTACGCCCACGAGAGCAAAACAGAGATAATTTTATTTAGTATTAAAAAATAGGGTTACAACATATTATTTATACTAATCCTAGTTTAGGCTAATATAAGACTTTAAGGCCCGTACAAGAAATACACATGTACCGTGCCGCGGGGGCGTTGTCCCTGCCTCGAACCCATTCAGCTCTCCTGAAGTAACCAACTCTCTTATCTTATGAAATATCACATCAGTGTGCTTAGCTCTTGCATGATAAATTTGATTCTTCGCTAGGAAAATAGCACTCTAACTATCACAGTACAGGTTCATTCCATCTTGCTTGATCCCAAGTTCCCTGACAAGCCCTTTCAACCACAATAATTCCTTGGTTGCTTCAGTTGTCGTGATGTACTCTGCTTCAGTTGTAGATAATGCCACAAGTGACTGCACCATTGATCTCCAACATATGGGCCCACCTGCGAGTGTGAAAATATAGCCTATATGGGACCTTCTGTCATCTAAGTCTCCTGTATAATCTGCATCTACTTATCCTTGAATTGAAATATCACCATGTTGTCTTTCAAACATGATCCTGCACTCCATTGTACCTTTCAAGTACTTGAAAATCCACTTTACAGCTCTCTAATGCTCTCTACCAGGATTAACCATATACTTACTAACAACATTGACTGCATGTGCTAGATCTGGTCTGGTACACACCATTACATACATCAAACATCCAACTACACTGGCCTAAGGTATCTTTGACATCTCTGCAACTTCTTCTTCATTCTTTAAGCTAAAGTGATTTGCCAATGGTGTAGCAACTGGTTTTACATCTGACGTGCTAAAGCTTTTTAACACTTTCTTCAAATAAATTTTCTGTGACACCCATAATTTTCTGGCTTTCCTATCTCTGTTGATCTTCATGACAAGAATTTTCTAAACCGGTCCCAAGTTTTTCATATCAAATTTACTTCTCAACAAAGATTTCAATTTGTCTACGTCGTCCATGTTCTTAGTAGCAATTAGCTTGTCGTCCACATACAACATCAAGAAAATATATGAGTTATCCCCAAGAACTTTGTAGTAATTGCAACAATCATACTCACGAAGACTGTAGCCAATCTGAATCATATGAGACTCGACCTTTTTGTACCATTTCTGTGGAGACTGCTTAAGCTCGTATAAAGATTTCTTCAATTTACACACAAGATTCTCTGTTCCAGGTTCCAAAAACCCTTCTAGCTGCTCCATAAAAATCTGATCTTCCAAATCTCCATGAAGAAAAGCAGTCTTCACATCCAACTGCTCTAACTTCAAATCAAAATTAGCTACTATTGCCAAAACAATCCTGATGGAGGTGTGTCTGATGATCGGGGAAAAAATTTCATCATAATCTACTTTCCTTTCCCCTGTGAGTATCCCTTTGCTACTAATCGAGCTTTGTATCTTTCTCCTTCCTTTTCTGACATTGCTTATTTTTTTCTTTACACCTACTTACACCTTATCTGCTTTTTCCCATCTGAAAGCTCCACCAAATCCCAAGTATCATTTTTATATAGTGACTCAATTTCCTCCGTCATAGCCTCTTTCCATTTACCTTTCTCCTGACTACCAGTGGATCCTGAAAAGTTATAGGATCGCTATTGTTGGTAATGAATGCATAAGAAATCGAATCCTCGAATCCATACTTTGTTGGTGGCTTGATAGTGCGATGTGGTCTATCTAAGGCAACAATATAATACTGCTCTACCTCTGGCCCAGAACTATCCGCTCCCTGGACATTAATTTCTGTGTTAACATTGTCTAGTTCTATTTGCACCATTTAGCTCTTGCCACTGCCCTCATCTGAATTGAGCTTCTTTTTATCTGGAGAAACTTTAAGCATGAATGCTTTATCAAAGACTGCATCCCTACTTATCACCATCTTCTTTGCCTTTGGATCCCAAAACTTGTAGCCCTTTACACCTTCACATAGCCCAGAAAAATGTATTTTCTTGATTTTGGATCAAGTTTGGATCCCTGATCACTAGATACATGTACAAAAACTGGACACCCAAATACTCTCAATTCAGAGCAATCAATTTTATTACCTGTCCAAACTTCCTCTGCAACTTTCCCATCTAGTGCTGCTCGTGGTGATCTGTTTATGATATAACATGCCATGTTCACTGCTTCTTCCCAATTACTCTTCGAGAGCCCTGCATTCAGCCTCAAACATCTTGCCCGTTTTGCAATTGTTCTATTCATCATTTTCGCAACACCATTCTGCTGCAGTATCTTACGAACTATATAGTGTCGCTGAATATCATGCTCCTCACAAAATTTTAGAAATTGTGAATCTGTGTACTCTGTATCGTTGTCTGTACTCAAATAATTAATTTTTCTGCCTGTTTAGTTCTCTACTTCTGCTTTCCACAATTTGAACTTGGCATAGGCTTCAAACTTGTACTTCATGAAATATACCCAAGCTTTTCTAGAAAAGTCATCAATGAAAGTAATGAAATACTAAGATCCACATTTGGACAACTCCCTCACTGGTCCCCAAACATCTGAGTGCACGTAGTCAAGAATGCCTTCTGTCTTATGCTTTCCCATCTTGAACTGTACTCTAGACTGTTTTCCAAGTACACAGAATTTGCAGAAATCCAACTTGTATGATTTTACCCCCTTCAACAAATTCCTCTTGTGAAGCTCAACCATGCCACGTTCTCTTATTTGTCATAGTCGCATATGCAATAGAAGAGTGTCATCTGACTCAGATTTTGCTGTAGTAACTCCACCTACAACTGTATCCCAAAGTAGTTTATAAATATTCCATGTCAATTTCTGACCTTCATCACAATCATAGCCTCTTTCTTCATTGTTAGAGTCCCACACTCTGACTTGTAAGAGTAACCATTTGTGTCTAAAGCGCCTAAAAAAATTAGATTCTTTTTCAACTTAGGTACATGCCTAACATTTTCCAAGGTCTTTACCATACCATCGAAAATTTTAAATTTTATGGACCCCATTCCAATGAGCTTACATGATGCATCATTACCCATCAGAACAGATCCAAATTACCAAAACGATATTAACGAAACCAATCATGGCGAGGACACATGTGATATGAACAGGCTGAATCAAGTACCCAACAGTCATTTAATATTTCAGAATTACCTGTAGATACTGATAGCATATCTCTATCTTCAGAATCCGAGTGTCATTCTGCAACACTAACTGAGTTAGAGGACCCATCGAGGACCCATCACCTTTCCTTCCATCACCCTGCTTCTTATTGAGACAATCTCTCTTAAAGTGGCCTATCTGATGTCATTTGTAGCACTTAACGTTTTTCTTATTTTGATTCCTAGATTTTAATCTCGTGTTCCCTCTATAAGAACCACCACTGTCCTTCCTTCTCCCATGATCTTGGTAGCCTTTTACGATCAACCCTTCACCTTGTAAAGTTTCACCAGTACGCAGCTTCCGCTGGTTGTAGGCTAACAGGGCTGATCTGACTTCCTCCAATTCGAGAGTCTCTTTATTCTACGTCAACGTGATTATCAGATGGTCGTATGAAGGAGGAAGTGAGCACAACAAAATCATTGCCTTGTCTTCATTATCAAACTTGATTTCAAGTCGCAATAGATCACTAATAATTTGATTGAACACATTGGTGTATTGAATCAGACCCATTCCCTCCAATATCTTCAGCCCGTACAGCTGCTACTTCAGATACAACTTGTTTGTGAGAGATTTCGACATATAACAACTCTCCAATTTCTCTTAAACCTCCGCCGGAGACTCAACGTCCACGACGTGATACATGATCTCGTCTGCTAAACAAAGTCGAATTGTACCAATTGCTCGTGCCTCGAATTCTTCCCAATCGACATTTGACGTACCATCTGACTTTTTTCCGGATAGTACTTTCACCATCCCTTACTGCGCTAACAAATCCTTAACCCTTCGCTGCCATAATTCGAAATTCCCAGATTCGTCAAATTTCATCAATCGAATTTTGCAATCAAAGAATTCGCTATCTGAACCTTGATTTGATACCAGTTGTTAGATTTTATGCACAATAATAAAGAAATGAAAAAGAAAAATCAACTCAATAATTTTACGTGGTTTTGCGGTGTGCCTACGTTCCGTTCGATGCGCTTTGCTCCTCTCACTTCGCTCCGGCATCAGCCTATTTGATCCAAAATCTGTGTTCTATTCTATATGAGCCACATGCACAACAGGCGAAACCAAAATCGAACTACAAGTTGGGCTAACACGTAAAAAAAATATAAATTTACACATAAATTTTTATTTTTTCACTCAAAAAAAAAAAAAAAAATTTGCCGTAAAAAACATTAAGTGGGCTGTAGCCTATTCCCCCTTTGATCCGTCCCTGTTGCAAACACTAATTTCCTTTTTGATGATACCATGAAGTATGTCAACAATGTAGGATTCCAAGACAATCTTGTGGCCCCCAAATTGCAACCTGAATCGATCCAACCCAACTTGAATTGGGTTGGTTTATATTATCAAAATGGGTTGGGTCGGTTTTAGATTGGGCCAAAATCGACCAATTTGGGTCCGTTTGGGTTAGGCCCAAATCGATCCAACCGAACTAATGCCCAATCCTAGTTTTTTGGCCTAACACTTAATTGCAAGACATATGATAAGTAGAGTCTATCACACGAGTAGTTAGAGAATTGAATTCTCTCTAACTGCACATCACAACTATAAACATGTCAAGCAACTTAACCATTGGCTATTGCATTGGCTGTATAAACTGAAAACATGGTCCTCATTTGAAGGAGAGTTTGCATGGCCCATCACACCTCGTTTTAAGTAAGCACGTTACACTAATTTCATAGAAGATTAATTGTACAATTGCTAGCAAGCTGTAGACAATTGAAGTGGCTCAATTACTCTCACTTCCCAATCTCATTTATATAGGTTAACATTCCTTATTTTCTTGTCCCAATTATGTAATCATATTTCTTTATTAAAAATGTTTTGTTTTC